GCAACCTCGTAGCTGTGTTTCCAAGACCTGCTGAATACATACCTGATTCCATGACCTGAGGAAATTCTACAAAGAGGGCACAAGGCCAATAGCCCTGGGACACAGGTGAGCCTGGGACTGAACAGGCAGCCTCCGGTGGGAGGCAGATTAACCAGCCTTTGTTTCTTCAGCCTGACCTTCCTCCCAGAAGCAGCCTCGCCCCACCTGTGGCAATGGCCGGCTCTCTCTGGCTTTGCCCCAGCCTGCGCTGGCTCAGCAGACTCTCTGCCTCAAGACGAGGGACTGGTTCCAAGGCTCAGACAGAAACACAGTCCACTGTGGAAGGCAGCATGGCATGGGACAAACCCTGGGGTCACCAGCCAGGGCAGGCGTGATTTGAACCCGACTCTGCTCCTAACTAGCTTGAGGCTTCCATGAAATTACTTCCTCTCGGCGTCTTAGGAGTTTCTTCTCCTAAAATGGGTCAAAACAGCTATCTTTCAGTCATGAAAGGTGATGGTAGGAGCTGAGGAAGGCACCTAGTTCGGTGCCTGGCCTCCACCCCATAGCTGCCTCATCTCACGCAGCCTTAACCATCAGTGTCCCAGAGTCCCTGCAGTCCGGCCATAGGCCAGCCCAGGAGCCCCAGGCTTCCGTGTCAGAGGGGACCCCCACAGTGTTTCTCCATGGGAGTGTTACTGGCGTTTAGGGCGATTCCTCACTGTGCAGGACCGTCCAGCAAAACATTTGACTCCTCTAGCCTCTGCTCACTAACTGGCTGTCGAGACTGTCCCCAGCCCCCCAGCATGGTAAATCCCAAAAGTGCCCCATATAATGCAGCCCTGGGGGAGTATCACCCCTGGTGAAGGCTGAAGCCTTCTCCCTGCCCAGTCTGAAGCAGAAGTGGATGCCACCCCTCAGCCCGGAAACGTCCATTAGCGGAGAAAAGTTTTGTCAGGAGCCCTCCCAGGAAAGTTTGCTCTTGGCCTTGCCACAGGGAGGGGTCATGCCTCCCCTCCTGCAGAGCCTCCAAGACCCCCATTGTCCTCACAGGCCTCTCCTGGCAAGAATCTCCTGAGGCGCCAATTTCACAACATGAATCCCTTTAATAAACCTGGAGATTTTGCATAATTAACAGACTAGAAGAGGAAGTGATTCCTAATGACAGAAGGTCAGACACTGGAGAAAAGGAGAAATCTGGGGACCACCAGGATCTCAGCAGGAGTCTTCTCTCACTGCCCATTTACTTTCCCTGCTGAAACCATGTGACAAGCTGGCAACCGCAGGTGGCGGGCTACAAGACATCTATGCTCTCAAAGCAAAGCCTGACTGCCACTGCCACCAGCCAACCAATGTCTCAGGAATACGAGTCCTCGTGCTTGGAAGAAGTATTTGTAATATACATCACACACAGATGTGTGTATATAATATATACTATTGATATCAATCATATAATTATGTGACTACTACATAGTAATTATATAAATATAGTAATGTACAGTAATTATAATTATGTATTACATATAATTAATATATTGGTAACATGTATAAATAATATATATACATTAAGAGTACTTGCAAATTAATAAATGATAAAATCCCACAAAGAAAAACCATACAAACAGGGAACATGAGAAGGCAATTTTACAAAAGCAGTGAAAGAAATGAGATATTACCTTCCAACTCTCAAACCAGCAACTTTTTAAAAAATTATAGTGTCCGGTACTCACTCACAAGAATGTGTGAGTACCTGACAGGTTGCTGGTGGGAGTGTAAATTGGTATTTCCAGAGGGTAGTCAAACAATATGTTTTTAAAACCCTTAAAAATATACATACTCTTGGATGAAGCAATTGTATTTCTAGAAATTTATCCTTTAAAAGTATTCATGGATATAGTCAAAGATTTAGTCTTTCTTAATTGTTTCTTATGGCACAAATTAAGAGCAACTTAAATAGCCAACACTAGGAAATTGATGAAATACTCCACTTAGCAGAAACAAAGCTAGTAAGGTATTAAATAACAGGGAACCAAACACCATGATTGCATTTTGTTTTAAAAAATTGTGTATATACAAAAAAGTACTGAAAGTATATGTAAGAAATGTTAATAATATTAAAGTAGCATTGGGTAATAAAATTACAACTGATTTTCCTTCTTTTTGATTATCTGTGTTTTGTAAAATATCTGTATTGGTCTAAAATTTCTAAAGTCTTGTCTGGCACTTACTAGTTTCTGTAATACTTGGTAAAATGTTATGTATGAATATATCACATCACCCAAAGAGTACAAATTCTTCGAATATGAGGTCTGAGTCTGATTGATCTTCCTAAACGCCCCATGATATTAGCTTGGTGCCTTGAATAATTACAACAATTATGCCATTTAGTGAATGTTTGCCATGTGGCACTGTACTAAATTATATCTTTTAATTCTGTCTTTTCATTTTCACACAGTAAAATTCAATAAACATTCGTTGAAAGAGGACAGGAAAACAGAGGGCAGATGGAAACAAGTGAGTGAATAAACACCAGAGCTGAAGTAAGCTGGCAGCTCTCTCACCTGGAAGTGACCAGCTCACTTTGGGGGACCCTTCTGACCAAGAGGCCTCACCAACCTGCCAGACCATTTCTTCTCACGGGGATGGGAACCAGAGGAGGGAAGGGGTTGGAACGCGGAGGAGCATACTATAAACGTGGGGTTTAGAAGCCGTGCTTTTTGGAAGATAAAATCTCACAGGGAACGACTAGATAAAACTTAAAAATCGCTTCCGGCATTTTTCTTACCAGATTCAAAAAAACTAATATTAACATGACAATGTCTTTTAACGAATCACTTTTGACCTTGGCAACTTTTAATTCTTTTCTACAAACACTCTCCAGCACCTACCATCCCCATTAGAGAGTGGACGATAAAGTAGACACAGTCTCATCCATAAGGAATTTGTAATGCAAGGAGGGCAAGAGATAGGTGCGGAAACAAATAATCCAAGGCTGTGAGCTCTTACAGAGGACTGTGAGGCTAGGGGGAGTGCAAAGGCAGGAATTCTTTCTGATGGGGAAGGACAGCAGAGCGGGTGGCAAGTGAGAGCTGGGACAGACAAGGTTTCTCAATGCAGAGTTGGGGGAATGGTATTCCTGGCCGTGAGACCAGCCCAGCAAGGGCTCTGAGGGGTGAGATATGGTGTGTTTGGGCAAAGGCAAGCAATAATGAGTGGGCGGAAGAAACAGGTTTGAAGTGACAGTTGAGGCAGGAAAGTGAAGCTAAACGCAAATGCAGGGCCTTGGGAGTCAGGCTCGGGTGTTGAGACTTAATTCTGGAAGTTAGGTGTTCAGCCCAGGCCCCTTGGGTCACTTCATTAGAAGGAGCAAAAGTGGTCCAGAGGTGAGCTCCTCTCCCGTGGTCTCTTCTTACCCCTGGCAATTTCCTGCTACACCTCCAAGCAGGTGCCACCCACCAAAAGGCAAATTAACATACCCCTCATTTTCAAGGGCTTGGGGGTAAAGTTCAGATTTAAAGCCATGGTGACCTGAGCGCACTCAGAAGTAGAAATACTGGCACAGCTCTTTGGCAACTAGCTCTCCCCTGCTGTTCCCCACACTCGGACATTCCACAGGGGAAGCTCCCCCAGCTTTGCCCGCCTCCTGGAAAGGTGAGGAGGCAAGCTCTGGACCAGTTGTTTCAAAACAGTGCAGAGAGTGGGACCAATAGCAAAAGCATCAAGCACTGATCTCCTGCAGTCCAGCCTCTAGGGTCCGTCCTGTGGTCCTGCGGTCCTGCTCCCTCCGGTAGCCGTGAAGACACCGCCAGCCCTCTCTGGTTCCCCTCTTGGTACAGGGTTTGGAAAGGAAAGAAAACAGGGGGGCTCTGGGAGCCCAGAGGACGGCAGGCAGCTTTTTCGCGCTGCATCTCCCGTTTCTATCACTGTCGACTCGTCTCTGTCATCCGTCTTTCTACTAATCTCTGTCTGGCATCTGTCTCTGGGTTTCTGACCCGGTGTCGGCGTTTCCATTCACGTCTCTGAGTCGGGACGTCTGTCATTCTGTCTTTCTGTCTGTGTCTCTGTCTCGGCGTCTATTATACCCACGCCTTTCTGTCGCTGACTTCCCTCTCTCGGCATTTCTATCTCCATCTCCCCATCTCTCTGCCCCCATCCCTGACTCTATCCCTCCTCTTCCGACTTAAGTTACTAAAACCCCAGCAAGGAAATCCAGCCGTTAAGAGAGGCGTGATTCGGCGCCAGCGTCAGCGGGACGATGCCAGGTTAGTGCGAGCGGCGGGAGGGGCGCCGCGGGGGCAGCGCTGGGCGCGGCGACCCGGCCACACACGCGACTTCCCGGCCCTCCCGCGGCTCCCCGAGCGCCTCGGGGCTCAGCCGGACCCTGACCGCTCCCCTCCCTGGCTTGGAAAGGACCTCCCTCGCCTCCGGGAAGGGTGTTTGCCCAACGCAGAAGTCAGACAGAGGGTAGAAACGGGGCGGAAAGTTCTCACCGATGGTGAAGCTGTAGCCATCGATGCTGAACGTGGCGCTCCGGCATTTTTTGAAGCCCTCTTTCTTGTTGCCGGCGTCCGTCATGGCTCTGCCGCCGGCGTCCCCGGTCCTCCGCCGCGGAGCGCGCAGCCCAGCTCGGTCCCCTCCCCCGGCCCAGCCGCGCGCGGTCCCCGCAGGTCCGCCCTCGCGGCGAGCGGAGCGCGCCAGCTGCAGGCGCGGGGACCGCAAAGTCAGCTAAGCCCTAGACACGCGGAGGAGTCCGCCAGCACCGCAACTGCCCCATCTCCAGCGCCAACTTCCAGATACGACGACGAGAGGAGTGCTAAGAAAGGGTGGCGCCGCGCGCCGGGCGTGTGTATGGGGGCTCGTGAGTGGGAGCCCAAATCCCTGTCTGTTCCACCCTAGTCTCTGGGAACCGCTGAAGCCAGCGCGCTACAGGCACGTCTGTTTTCCATCTCAGCTTCGCCTTCCCCTCTCTAGAGGCTGGTGGGGTTTGGGGACCCGAGGGAATGGCTGAGATTTGGCGTCGTGCTTCTTCTAGATGTTTTCTCTGGCATGCAGGAGAGCTCCCAAAAAGCACATCAACAGATGGAAAAGCAAACATCTGAGCCGGGCAGATGCCGCCAAAGTTTACTCCAAACAAGGAAGTCAGGAAAATCGCCACGCCCACTTCCTCCCGGCAGCTGTCCCCTTAACTAGCCTGGAGCCCCAATAAGATTCCTTCTCAACAGTCCCTGGCCAGAAGATAATTACCAAAGTAACCCATATTTGTGGCCAAGCGCTTTCACACAGAGACTCTAAACTGTGCAATTTACAACCAAGTGCTAGCCCCTTCCAAATGGCTTGTCCTAGCTCTTTCCAATTTGATTTTGCCAAATATGAGACTCCTGGGCTCTGTGGAGGTGGGCGAGATTTGCCAGTCTGTTGTTAACTGTAAACTGAGGCTGACAGGGGCTTCACTAAGGTCCTACAGCTAGAAAGTGGCAGCGTTTGCACATGGGAGTTTCATTTTATGACACCAGTTCAATCACTGGTCCTGCCAGTACCCGAAATGACTAAGTTAGACAAGGTTTATACAGGGAAAATCATTCCCTTGGACCAGCAAGCAATTACTAAGGATTCACAGTTGCCTTGTTCTGTGTCAGAGGCTGGGGAGCTCGTGTGAAGAAACCACAGCTGAGGCCCTTGGTGGAGTCCACCCAGTGTCACGTATGGAATGACAGTGCAATCTATGCTCAGGCTACTGTGGGACTACGATGAATTTAACCTCATTTGTTGTGAAGGAATTTGACACAATGAACAAATACTTATTAAGAGAGTCACTCAGGTATATTCCAAAGTGGTTCCAATTGAGTTTAGGGAGCAATGGGTCCACACGTCTTCAGAATCTGACTAAAATTAGAAATCCTCTCCCAAAAAAGGCACGTATGCACACGTGTGCAGTGTTCTACATACAATTTCAGGGGACCCACAAAACCCTCAAGCCCACTGGAACCCAGGCTAATGAACGTCTCAGGAATTGAATCTTCTTCAATTGACCATATATGTTTAGAGAAATAGGTATTTTTCTTGTCAGCTGTAGCTGGAACTGCATGCAGTTAGAAATTCTCTCAGGGGAGACCCAGAACCACACTCACGTTGATGGTTTGCTTAGATCAATGGCAACATCAAATGATCCAAAAAGCAATGGACCTCATGGCCCATCTCAGCTTGGGAGCCAGGGGCTGCTCGCTCCCTGAGGTGCTCCTTGAGACTGGGGCTGGTTACAGCGTGAAAGCATGAAAAGGGCTGTGTGGACAGACAGGCCTGGGTCTGAAACCTGCCCCACCACTTCCCAGCTATACGACCTTGAGCAAGATGCTAGATGGCCCTGAGTCTTGCTTTCCTCATTTTACAATGAGGATGAAATGATAGGCAATTGTTGAAGCCTAGGTATGTAGAGGGCTTTCAATGACCGTAATCACCAGACAACTCCCAATTCCATCACGTAGACACTATGGAAAATTCTTTTTCCGTGACAACAGTATATTTTAGTTATTGTTATTAATTTTATAAAAAAATGTTACATGTAAAAGTATAATATATTAGATATCAATATTGTATATTTTTAATATAGTAACCACCAAAAGTTTCTTATAGCTCCCATTTTCCTGTATTGCTCCCACTTTCCCAAACCTTTAACAGAAGTTCATGACTTCTTCTGTGTCATTGTAAGTCCTGGAATGAGAAGCCTGAAAGCCCTCAGTTTTAGTCTCCTATCGTAAATGATCAAGAAAAAAAAAATATCCTCATGCAATGGAAATTTTTCCTTGAGTGAGTGAAATTAAAACTTGGAACGTAATCACTCTTAGCAGAAAAGCTTTTTTGAAATATAATCTGTAACAATAATAACAATGTGATCATTTATCTGTCCCCTAAAGACTGGTAAAAATAACTTGCCTGAACAATTGGAACTGTTTTTAAACTGTTTCTCCCCAGAATCATTATCTCCCTCCCTGGTTTGAGAGATTGCACACCTACAGAACCACTAAATGTACTGCTGCAAGCGCAGAGTCTTACAGCAGCCTTCTCGGTGGCGGGCTCTTACCCCAAACCAAGGGAAGTTGAATGCTAACATTACATAAGCCAAGAAAGAACAAGTTCAAGACCAAGATCAAAAGAGGCAGGCTTTTGCTTTGCTCTCTCAGAAACGCTCCTCCAAGAATGCCTGTGAAGTAAGAAAACTAAACCAAGACAGACGAGCAGATGTGTGGCCGCTATAACATGTTGTTAGAGCAGGGATCAGCAGGTTAATGCCTGCGGGTCAAATCCAGCCTAGCACCTGTTTCTGTAGAGCCTTTGAGCTAAACATGGCCTTTATGTTTTTAAGTGATTGAAAAAAATTCAAAAGGCCATGTCTGGTGACACATTCAAACTATATGAAATTCAAATTTCAGTGTCCACATGAAACATTTTATGGGAACATGGTCATTTATTTCCTATTGTCTGTGGTTACTTCTAAACCAAAAAGCAGCGTTGAGTAGTTGTGCCTGAGACGGTATGGCCTCCAACACCAAAAATATTGACTATCTGACCCTTTACAGAAAATGTTTGCTGACTCCTAAATTATAGTAAATATCTTACACCTGTCTGGGCTTGGGTAATTTCTAGTTTTATTATATTTACTTTGAAATAAGTTTGGAAAGGAATTGATCCTTTTTAGAACTACTGGAATGGATTCTAACAAGGAAGGCCCAGCAACAAATGTTTGAGGAAGGAAAGAAGGAAGTAAGGAAAGAAGGAAGGAGGGAAGGAAGGAAGGAAGGAAGGAGGGAAGGAAGGAACGAAGGAAGGAAGGAAGGAAGGAAAGAAGGGAGGGAGGGAGGGAGGGAGGGAGGAAACAATATACATATTAACAGTTTGATCCAGTCATTAGCCAAGATTAATTAGATGAAGATTAATTTCTCCCAAGATGTAATGCATGACCCTGGCTTCACCCCAAGAAAGTAGAGTAGGAACTGAACTCAGCCCTAAATTAGTTCATAGCTCATGGACCAACTAATGTCCTTCAAAATATAGCAAACAGATGTAGAAAACTCAACATCTGGCAGGAGACCCCTCTACTCAGGTGATCGTATCATCTCCTTTGATATTCCCGCTCTCCGAGGCTGCTACCTGTTTCCATAGGGGGAACGGTGTCAGTGCTGAGAACACATTGCTCATTGGTTTTCAAACCTCTAGGGAAAGATGAGACACTATATGTAACATATGTTATCTAAAGGCAGCTTTCTAGGAAGATAGCTTTTACTTGTCATGCCAGAGAGAAGACAGACAGCTCCTCAGCATTTTGTTAGCGCATGTCAGCCATTCTCAGGTAGGAAACCGTCCACCATTTGGAATTCTCCCAACAGCCAATGGTCCAAGAATTATAAACCCAAGTTGTCCCAATAAGAGCATTGCTCATACCCCTCATGGACACCCACTGGGCTGTCTGATAACCACCCCAAATTCTGGGAAGGGCACCCTCGCATTCACAGGAACACAGAAATGGCTGCAGGCAATGAGGTTTCTCAGCTGTAACTCTGCTCCCCTGGCTGTAATTGGTAGGACCCAGATAGAACTGAAGAGTATCTTTGCGGGGAATAGGAATTGCGAGAGGTGAAAAGAAAGTTCTAGTACATTCCAGGCCCAGTTCTAGGCAGTATCTGAAAATCAGCTCCTCCCAAACTCTATGAGATGCCCTAGTGCCTTATACTATATTCCCTTTTTGTGAGTGATCCAACAAGGGCGTTTCTGTTGCTTGCAGCCAATGTCCTAAAGCATCCATCAAACACACGCCCTTCAAGGAGGCACATAGAGGAAGAAGAAATAAACAGAAAAAGGAGAAATGAAACTGACATTACTGAGTGCCAGCTATGTGTTAGGCAGTGTGCTAACCAAGAAACAGTCCCTGCCTGAGGGGACTTTATAAGAGCAGGCCCCGGAACAATCTGGAACAGGGGTCCGATTGAGAGAGCAGCCTCAGAAAGTCTGTCTCTATGGATGCAATTCCCCTTCAGCTGTCACTAACGCCCTTCTCTGTTTCAGTTTGCTCCTACCTTATTGCTTCCCTAGACTCACTCTTTGTTTCTCGTATTAATTAGGCCTAGGGATGGCAGAGGCCATCGAAATAAACAGGGAGAATAAAAAGCAGAGTGTCTACACACCTGGGGGCCTGAGAAAGGAGGCAGAAAGATGCCTAGAGGCCCTCATGGAGATTGCAGAATTCCCCTTGCACAAGAAGGCAACTTTCCTGTGAGTTAGGGATGGCCTCCTACCTATTTCTATTCTTCAACTTTTTTTTCTAAGTTTACATGTTATTAGTGCGCCTGTGAATGTGACTATTCATCAGTACCTGCCTCCAGCGTCTCAAAAAATATTAGCTGAGGTACTCCCAGACCAAGGCCTTCTTCATAAGGTCAGGGAGCAAATTAGAGTAAATTGCATTTCTTTTTTGCACTAAGAATTTAGGTAGACTTTTCCTATAGCCTCTGCAGTTCTGAGATTTGGAGAGCTGGTGACACTCTGCAGTGGGGTGGGGTGGGGGGAGCAAATTCACTGTCTCGAATTTCTTTTTCATAATCCAAAATGTCAAACCTGGGTCTTCTTCCCCTTAGCCCACCTGTTTTGCCTAGAGACCTCGTCATCCTCCTTCAAGTCTCCACTGATGCCCCAGGTCCTCCAGAAAGCATCGCCCGCCCGCCCGCCTGCCCTTCCTGGACGGAGGAGTCTCTCCACTTTACGCTGCCCCTGGACCTCATTCCGCGTCTCCATCCTAGAACCATCCCACTGCACTCACACTGCTTGCTTGCCCTCTGATCACCCCGCAAGGATATAAGCTGCGAAGATGGGTCTCCCCTCCCAGCCCCAGCACAGTGCCTGGCACAAAGTCGGCCCTCGCTAAAACACTTGATGAATTAAAGAGTAAACACAGATGTAATCCTCGCTAAAACACTTGATGAATTAAAGAGTAAACACAGATGTAATCCACAATGCTGGCAGGCAGTGATTGGGGCAGGACTGTCCCTCTCAGTCATTCCTTTTCTCCATTCTGCTCTATCTTCCTCTGTGTTGAGCTTTGGAGCCAGTTCAAACCACAGCTCCATAATAAATAGGT